GGGCTGGGGCAGGGGCTGCCCAGCTGGGGTGGGGTGTGGGACTGAGCCACTTGGAGGGGCAGCTCCTGCCATTGTGCACACCCCCAGGAGGGCATTGCTATTGTGCACACCCCCAGGAGGGCATTGCTATTGTGCACACCCCCAGGAGGGCATGGGGGATGCACCCCTGGAACTGCACGTGGGGTGGGGTGGGCTGCCACTGTGGGCTAGGGCAGTGCTGAGCTGTTCCCGGTGGGGGTGTTGGGCCAGGTGGCAGTGGTGCTGGGAGAGGCGGGGGATTGAAGGGGCTGCAGCCCTTCCCAGAGCTGCTGCCACCCACCCTGAGCGCAGCCTGGCCCATCCCCAGCTGGGAAGAGCCCAGCGCTGCCCTGGCCTCAGCCTGCAGTGGCAGCCTGCCCCGTCCCACGTACAGATCTGGGAGTACGTGCCCCCCCATGCTCTCCTAGGGTGTGTGGAGTGGTGGGAGCCATCCCCCACACCCCCTGTCCGAGCCACTCACAGCTCCGTTTTGTACTGTGCCTCGGTTGTGCAGTGTCTTTCCCTACCCCCAGCCCCACTGCCTTCCTCACCACAGGAGCCTTGGTCCCCCCCTCCCCCTGCTTAAAAACAAGAACAAATGTAAATGGGTACATGAGCTGAAACTTTGAGACAGAAGGGGTACACTTGTTAAAAAAGGTTGAAAACCCCTGACTTGGCAAACACTACTCAAGGATAAGTAAATGAAGAGATTGTGTATGTATTTAAAGAAGCATAGTTTTTGCCACTGATAGACCTGAGTTATAGTGTTTATCATGTGGACAAGAGACACACAATTCACAATGGAGGAGTTAAAAAGAAGACAGCCTTAGGAGGGGAAGCTGTCTCCTTAGACACATTACTTATATATCATTTCTCATGCGCACACACTTTTTTTCTTTCTTTTGATGTATACTCATGTTTTTCTTGTTATCCAAGCAGAAATCTTTTTAAAGCATTAACTTTACTGACCTCTTCATCTACTGTTGTTTTATTTTTTTTTCTGTGAACTGAAAAAACATTTAATTTTCCAAGCCATGATGGGCAGTGATTTTAACTGAGACAGCACTGTTCTCTCCAGCTACATGAGACTCACTTACAGGCATGAAAGTGATTTCTTCCTGATGATGTGGTCACTCTACTCCGTGTGTGCATGGTTCTGTTTTATTGTTTCTCATTCCTTTTCCATCTGGATTCTTTGTTAACTAATTGTTTTCTGTGCCCCTCTTGCCTCTGCCTATACTCTGCTAGGTTTCCACCCACACCTTTGCCCTTTTAGCTTGCTTAAAAACAATTAACCATTCATTGTAATTTCCTGCTGTGATGTGCTCTTGAACTGAATGTTGGTGTGTTCCTGTACAAAAATGAGTGCCTGTTGCTTTTTGCATGATGCTGGTTATCTACACTTTGAAGCAACCATAGAACCCAATCAGCTCGATCCAGATGGCTGACCTGTTTCTCAGATTTCTTCCTTTCTGTGATTTTTTTTTTTTCTCTTTCTCTTCCCCCTCCCCTTGCCCTACCTCCTGCTCAGGATATGCCGTGACAGCAGGTCATTTCTCTCAGCCGACTACCACAGACATTGTAGGAGGAGCTCCTCAGGATGGAGGCATCGGAAAGGTGCGGCTTTTACTCCAACAATAGAACAGTTAAATGTGACCAGGTTAAATATAGTGACTCAGTTTCCATAAATGAGGAGTCAAGAGATTTTATCTGAAGATTAATTTTTGACTGGTTTGTCTGGAAGAGGTAAGGGAATTGGTGAAGTCCTCAAATTCACTCCACCTGCCCCTACAGGCACCTTTACTGCCTTCACCCCAAACCACCAAAAATAATTCTTTAGTTTGAAGAGATACAGTTACCTTGGGAAAATATTACAACCTTATGACTTTAAAAAAAATATTCTTGTTGCATATAACATGGAAAATCTTCAGTTTGTTTTAATTCTTATATTTGACAGCATTTTGTGCATAAAATATTTCAACATTTCTCCATTTATTTGAATGGGTTTTCATACTGCAGAAGTGAAAACAATAAGAATACGTGGTTGCAAAATTAGTATAATTGAAAGGCTTCCTCAGAGACGGGTGTAGTACATGAAATTACTTTTAAATCCATTTTTAAAGTTTTTTTCCAGTTGGTATCCTCTTTATAATTTTAAATATATGGACATGTCTCTATTGTCTTTGTAGTATTAGCATCTGGATTTGCACTGGGTGAATTTAGAACCCACAGTAATAGAGTAGACAAACACACAAAATGGATTGATATATATATACAATTTGCATGTATGAGGACAATATTTAAAGATAAAATCCTGTAAACACCTAAGCATATATATGACTTTATGAGCTTGAGTAGCCTCACTGAATTCTGTGGGTTACAGATATGCCTAAGGGCTTTCCCTGAGGCACTGTATGTTTTAGTGATTTTGCCAAAATCTTAAGATGATTAAGCAGCTAAACTATAGGTAGAATCCTGGCTCATGGTCATATATGTTAAACTCTATACCATGCTCTTATGTATACTGCTATAAAACCGGGGATAATCTGATTTATGTTGATATATTTAGATGAATTTTTGTCTCCTTTTCAAACAGTTTCCAAAGGAAGCATCTGAAATAGTTGTAGTTCTTGCTGTATAATTCTCTTCAGTGTATTTCCTTGAAGCTGTCTGTATACCTATCTGTTAAGGGGCTATTAAAAACCAATACATAAGTTAATACATCAAGTTCTTGGATCAAATCCATGATCAACTTTGCAAATAACGTGGCTCTTTTCTCTTATTACCTGAAACGACACCTGCTGGACAGAAATAGATGGATTGGCTTCAAATTCTGCTCTTGCTGTGCTGTGAGCCAAAGAATAATTCAGGAGTTCTGTAGAGACTTGTTCCGCTTTTACAATTAAGTGGGATTTTAATTAAATTATTTTAAGTTCTTCCTTTTTCTGTTAATAAATACCATGTACAAGTGAACTGCTCAGAGAATGCTGATAGCTCAAATAATGCTAGGGATATATGGGGCTCCTTTGGAGCAGATGATCAAATAGGCTAATAGAGACAATCTCCTTTATGATCTTCAGCTAATATGTTTTACTACTTGACTGATTAGGCAGTCAAAAATAATTGACACCCGGATTATGGTTAAACAATTTGCTACATTATAATTTGTTTCACCAGTACTTCGGTCTAATTTTTCTACAGAAATGAATGTATAAGCTTTTTATGATACAGATCTCTCTCTGGCTGCTGACAGATGTGGAAAAAAAAGTGCTTTACTGGAAGCAGCAGCACATTAGTTTGACCTGGCTCTGCAGCATCTGTATAGATTGGGTGCTTCAACAGGGCTTTTTGGCACTTTTATCTTAAGCCAGTTGAATCAGCTATTAGATAACAGTGCCAAAAAAGCCCCACTAAAGCGCCTAATCTATACAGATGTTAGGTGTGCTAGGTCCAACTGATACAATGCTTCTGGACATGAGCTGGACTCAGTGTGCAAGCACATCAAGTTTTTAAAGTAAAGTTCTGTTTTGTTTTGTTATTTTTAAATGTCTGTAAGCAGCCCAGGTGTTTGCGTGCATTAAGGTTACGCGTTTGGAAGCCTCCAAACTTGCCACCAATTTGACTAAGCTAGCTTTCCACAGATTTACTCATTGTGGCTTGTTTGCCATCTTGTATGAATCAGTCATAACCATAGATCCTGGTTTTCTCTGTTTAAAAGAAGTGCAAATTCTCTGATAAAAATTCTTGAATTGTCTGATTAACAGCCCCCCCACCCCAAATCCATGTTTTTCCGTGATTAAAATGAAATGCCGCTATATACATAGATATCAGTTGAACACAGTTTTATTGATATAGTTACAATTTTAAAGCAGTATAAAAGCCTACCAGTGCCTCAATCACTATAATAAAAGAAACTCTAACTACCTCTAAATGTTGGCATTTGATTTTGGGTTTTTTATCATGTAAAATCAGAGCTCCTCCTGCCCCCTTTGCTCACCAGGATGCGATTCCAGCTGCAGCTGTCCCCCCATCCCCCACTACTTCGTGGCACTGAGCAGCAA